ATATAATACTCGGAGTAGCACATGTTTGACCAAGGCAAGTAAATTACTTCTTATTCACTCTTTGACCAAGTTGTTATTTAGAAAGCGGGAAAATAGCAGTTTTTATTTTACTCAAATGAACTTACTTCTAATCGGTTTGTGCACAAATATTTGCAAACTGATGGTTACAGTCATGTAAGGTAAAAAGAAACAAAGAGTTTAGCACACCTGATTAATCATTTTAAATTTCATCTATAAAATTTTCATGATTTTAGAAGACCGGATGTCTGCAGGAACAAATTACTGCACCATCCTTATAATAGCAATCGTGTATATCCTTGTCGCGTGCACGTTTCCATTCTCTCTGCCTTTCTGCATAAAGGTGAGTTGCTTGTTTTTTGGTTGGAAATAAGGCACGCAACCTGCGCAAGTAGTGACAGGGTATTTAAAACTGGAAAGACATTACTAAAAATTTTAACTGAAACTCCTAAAAAATTCTTCTTAAATGAATGCTCCAAGTTTTATTAGCTGTGAGTAACATTTTAGGTTCTTAGGAAATTTGCAATAAAGTTTAATGTTTTACTTACGGTTAAAAGTTCATTGTACTTAGGTAAAGTACATGAACGCTAATTATTTCATACTGAACTTTTAACTGCAATTACTTCGCTTATCTACTAACCATGACATTGTTAATTGCTAATGGTATTTCCAAATACTAACATAGGTAGCTGCTTTTTGCAAACTTTACAACTTGATCTTTGAGACATGTCCGGTGCGAGCGTAATCCAACTAAGTTGAATGGCTTTTTAAAATCCAGGCTTGATCAGAAACCTTGACGAAACCTGCAGATATTTTGTGTTAACACTGCTTATTTTAAAGGCATTTTGAGCAGAAATCAGGATTCCACCTACCCACATGGCTGGAATAGCTAACTGGATTTGTAATCATTTTTTTAAAAATTAATTCACCCAGTTTTTAAAGAATGTTTTCAGTTTTACGTTATTAACTAATGCTAAAGCAGTTTGCATTAGCTACAATACGAGCAGGCCAGGAAAGTCATATTAATATCTATTTTTGCCCTAATTTCCTCTGGCAAAATTTTGTTTCCTTTATTCTACCTAACTTTTTTAATACTTGTTATGCTGGAATGTCATTTTCGTTACTTTCCTCAATCATTAAATAGTAGTGCCCCATTCGTAAGATTTATCAACCTCACAATCCAATAGACTCCACCTTAAATGTGTTTATTTTCCAAGGTCTTTGGTTACATGCGAAAATAGGAATAGATGACCTAGATTATGGCTTTACATACTGACGTGTTTAGTCAGAGGATAGGATATTTTTTACCCCGGAAGTCAGAAAGCGGACTGATCAATTCGTGTTTATTAAAATTACTTGGATATACGAGAGATCACTTCCAGGTTTATAATTTCTACCCTAAAGGATTTGAATAATTAGTGGGTATTAATGGTATAGCCAATGATGTGAAATGCAAGCAGATAGTTGTCGGGTATACCACTTCAACAGAACCGCAAACAATGACCTAAAATGTACATATATACGTCTACACGGAAGTACCGCTTTACCAAAGAAGAAATGTCAAGTGAGTGTTACGTTTCACGCCGTTCCGTGGATTGCTTCTGATGAAATTTAATTTGCCTCGTGGTCTCTGGCTGATAGATTTAGGTAAACCAGATAAAGTTGATGACCTAAATTTATGATTTAGACTGGGCAAGAAACGCCTTACAAGTATGTGCAAGTACTGCCAAACAAGGGGCCGCGGATTTGAAGTAAATTGCTCCTCACCAGATTTACTGTTCACTGTAGGCTTGGGCTACAGCCACTTCTCTCTCAGCAAACTAGTCTCGGTACAGGGTCAGGCGTAAATCCAACGGCCTCTCGTGCCGACATCAAACGTCGCCTTGTTGAACTTGGTCTTCTCCTCAGTTAGACTATAATCACTTAGGCTACTTAGCAGGTCTTACAGGCTCAAGCGGGTTCGGTCTGCCATGTAACTAGTCCATTGGGCTTTTCCTCACCGGCTAACTGGTTTATGCAGACTTACTACAGCCAGCGTCTAGTGGAATGTCGGATGCGACATCAGCCCCATCCCACCATCCCCTCACACACACACACGCACACCCGCCCACCACGATGACTGAACACTCACAAGTCAAAACAGAGCACGGGCCTGCCCGCAGCGAAAAACTCAATTTTTTAAAGCGGTCACTGCGGCAGAGGTGGTTCTGTCACGCGTATTGGTCAACGCCGTACATTGCTTCCAAATAAACTGTGGCATTCCTCATGTACCTCAACTTTTGCTTGCTGAGCTATCAAGATTTTCATAAACCACTCAACCAAGCAGTCGTGGAGACGAGATTTTGTGTTATCAACATTGCGTTGCTATGCCATTTGCTGCAATGTGTCTGTGTTTGGCAATGACTAAGCGTGCCAATTTTTAAATAATGGGGCGGATACGTGCTGAAATCGAGTAGATTGTTGTTGATTTGTACCTACAACCTCGATTTGCCGTTCAGACACAACTTAAGGCTTTGTGTTTAAGTGGAAAAGTTGTAATTAAGTTTAAAGTAATGAAAGATATAGGCCAAATGTAATATTTTGTTTGAATACATTGGACACATTGGGTCAGAACCCCTGCAATTTCAACTTACAGAAATTTAATCAATTTATGATTTTACGAAAAAAAATATTACACTCATTGGCACGTGTTGTTTGCGTTTTGAGTAGCTACCTGTAGCTTGCGAAAAAATCGGAACACCAGTTTATGACTTTAATGGTAGTGCATTAAATCTGAACCTCACATAATGAGTATTGTGATTTAATTGTGAGAAATGCATGAAAATAAAAATTTCGGGTGTCATTCTTAAAATTAATGCCTCGATTGACTATTGAAAGTGCTTCTCACTCTATTTGTACAATGTCTATATAAAATACGGAACCTAAGGGCATTAGAATCTGTTTTTAACTACCTCCAGCCTCAAAATGATATGATAAAACAGATAATTTTAGTGGGTTCAAAGTGCTGGCTGTCGATTTCATAACGTTCTCTGAAAAATCGACAACAGTCCTAAACTTGATGTTTTCCTTGCATTTTGCAATTACTCGAATAAGCTGAGCTGATTTTCTTAACCAGGAGTGTGATTTCGCCTTCCTTTTCTACCTCCTGAGCTAAAGAGGCCAGTTAAGAATTATTCACTAATGTGAATCAATTCTTGATTGCCGACCGGACACATGGAAATCTAATTTTATCTAATACTACGCCTGATGTGTGTGAATCCCAATACCCGAAATTTGTGCGCACAAATGATTTGTTGTACACAAACAAAAGATAAGCAATATTGCTTTTAAACTTGCGTATAGAGTGGCCCAAATGTAATCTAATATCCTATTATTGTTATTAAAAATTGCAAGTAAACAAAACGAAATTTAAGTACCATTGAACAATGTCATTTCTGTCAGTTAGTAAAAACGCCCCAGGAAATTAGTACGCAGATAGCTTGTCTAGCACAAGATTCTCATTCTCTGTACGACGACAGACACGGACTCGTGAGGAAATCTTTTACTTGCTCAACCAAAAGCCGGATATTATGCCTGACTGAGTTGGTCCCTTCGCTGTCAGTAGCCAGAGTTTAATTAGACTGATGTCGGGATGCCTCTGTGTGTAATTTGCGAAGAATCCTTGAACAGAGGGATGGAGTCAACACATTGCGTACACCAAGCATTAAACAGACATCTGTAACGGAAAGGAATCCGATTTGTTTGGCTTTTGGTTTGTCTGGAAGGGGGACTCTGCCTGCGTGTTGTGAATGGACACAACTGGCAGTCCCGGCCCACCTCGTTACCGCCTTGCATTTCACTAACCGTTGCTGCTTGTATGGGGAGTGTCAAAATACTTGAGAAGGAGTGTCCGTTGATCTCCGTGGGCCAGAATTTGAGGAACTACAGGGATTTTGTCAGTCGGCTGAACACCGTGGGCACTGCAGACTGAGCACCACGTCGCTCCCGAAGTTTGGAGCGATGCTGTGCGACCCTCCAGTATTTGTGCCAGTTGTCAATTTCATCGAGCATCAGTGAGGGTTTCTGCTCAAGGAGACGAGGCAGTCACGTTCAAAATTCCGCAGTACTTGGTTTTCGTTAGCTACAAATGAGAAATACACACTTAAATTACCATTAGTATGTTGGAATTTTCATATTCTTAATTTCCACCTGCAATAAGTCATGATATTCCTCTACTATTGGTTTAAAACTTCTGTATTCAATGCTGAACAGAGAGGAGTGCTCCAAAATAGTCAATTTGTGTGTTTGGGTGATCTCTTTAAAGGAGTAATTCCATTAATTGTGTGAGAGGATGAGGTTACAGTACAAATCCAAATTATTTGGATCGATTTCACGAATCAAGAGCCAAGCGTTCTAAGCATCGTGTTGAGAAACGAGGTTGATCTGACACAGGTCGTAATTTTGTCGAAACCGCGTTTTGAGGGGTTGCCTTGTTTCTTGGACTGTAGACAAGCTCTGTTAAATTAATTTTAATGCCGCCGATTGAAGGCGTTCTGACGGAACGGTTTGCTTGGAAGCTGAATCCTGGCAATCCGCCAACACCACCATAAGCCGCTTGGATGGCTGTTCCAACCTTGTTCCACCTTTATTTCACATATTTTGCCAAACTGTTATGTCGGCCAGTACCAAAAAAAACCCATCCACGAAAGTCCCACCTTCTCAATGCAAGGACAAAGATGCGGGCACATGGAGAGACCTTTTACTGTCCCAGGCTAAGGCCAAGTGCCCTGTCGGAGAGTTTTGTAAAATATGATTCACATTTCGAATATCTGTGTATAAAAGAGTTTTGTGTCATTAATTTGCAAATACTAATATCACTAATAATTAATATGTTTCGTTTACATTTGGTCCACCCTGCATGATGGACGGGCATCTAAGACGAACTCTTCCGTTTATAGGTGATTGCAGAATATGAACGTGCTGTGATCTTCAGACTGGGACGAATGCTTCCGGACGGGGCTAAGGGCCCTGGTCTCTTCTTTGTTCTTCCTTGCCTTGACAAGTTACGCAAAGTCGATCTACGAACGGTGACCTTTGACGTCCCTCCACAGGAAGTACGTGATGTCCTGTTTCGATGTTTATTTTAAGGGTTAATTTGTTGCATCAAACGTTTTTAAAAATGAGTGAACCGGAGTTTTGTTTTTTTCGATTTCTAAAAGCTTTGACCGTATGCACATTTTTAATGGGTTGTCTGTGGAATGCATCGTCACATTACAGTGGAATTTTACACTGGAATGATTAATTTAAAGGTATGAAACGTATCCGTTATTTCGATTTAAAAATTTGTTCAAAGAACAAAAGCATTAGCTAATGAATCCATTTAAAACATGAGCGGATCGATTGGTTGCCAAATGAACTTCCCTCGCTTGTCAAATTGACTAAAATGCAAACGTGGTCCTTTGAAAGCATTATTTAATGGACGAACCCTAGGAAAGAAGAAAGGCAGTTAATTGCAGTGCTGACAATTTATTTTGATTTCGCGAATTCTCTTAGCAGTAAACACAAACAGAAAGCTATCCGGATGAAATTCGATTGTGACTGATTGTGTCGTTTTTATGCTCAAAATAAATTTCAAGATGTAGCTGTCCCGAGCAGTGATAACCGGGAAACGGGAGTGAAACGCTGTTAGACCTTCCTGTATAGGGGTAAATACATCACTTGAAGTCTAAAATGCCACTTTATAATGTAAGTAGTAAAACAGTCAGAACATGTGAGAAATCGTTACAGTGAATTGAATTACTTGGACAAAAGGACAGAAAAGGTCACAAGGTAGTTGCTGTGAAAATTGGAATGAATTCACGAATCGATAATGCTAGAAATAAAAAATTCAACAAACCACCTGTGACTGCTCCAAATAACCCGACTTTCTGCATTTTACAAATGCAAAGTGCATTGCGTAGTTTGATGCAGACAGACTGATTTAACTTTAAAGCGTTCAAGGAATCATGGAAAATTTCATTTTCGGGAAAGTCCCAAGAGCAGGCTACGTGGAAAAGCACGTTGGTGATAGCCATCTAGGGATGTGAGGAGGAAAGTCAAAATCAATTACGGATGTCATGCCTACCTTGTAAATTAATTCTTTATTCATCTACACCAGATTAGTGTTGTTTCTACGCACACTTTATACATAATGTATTCGCAAATATTAAGGATGGCTTAACCTCGTGCGCTAACTTTCATGAATTTTCAGCAAAGCATTTCACAAGTTCAAAAGTTGCTGTTTTGGCGGAAATGATTACCAATGGATTTTCTGAAATATTTGGTTGTTGCTTTAAACAAAGCAATCACTTCAAAGAAGAGGTATTTTAAACTACTACGTTTTTTCACATGACAGTTACTTCTACCGGTATGCAAATAAAATGCTAAAAAGCCAAGGCACTTGTTTGTCGACATCGTTGTATCTAGCACACTTTTTTCATGGCATTAGAAAACGAAGTAATTGTTCGCTGTCTTAATGCATGAAGTTTAAACCTCATCGAATAATTTTGAATTTCAAGTGATTTATGTACCCTCTGATCTGTTATTGCCTACTCAAAGGCTCTTTTTATCAACCTAGTATCTTTTCGTCTTATTCGGCTCCATCTAAAGAGTCGTTATTTTTTTACCAGCTTCAGACTTTTAAACTAACATGCAACTGTGTGCAAAAGTTTATATTTATAAAAGATTGCCTTCCTTTACCCAATAAATGACACTGCCACGAAGGAACTGGTAATTTAAGATCGCCAAAATATGTGTCAGAATTTTTTAATTTAGCAAAGTGATTTGTGTGCAAGTGGAGTGAATGTTCTCACCTATGCTCCGCGGTTTTTTCACACCATTTTACGCTTTTATGTGTGCACGTGATAAAACCATGTTTTAACTCTCATATCCTTATTTCACCGTTTCGTACAGAACTTGATTTTGGATAATGTCCGAAATTTTATGGTCTGTGAGTAATCGCCATCTGGAATTTTGATTTGTGATGTTAAAGTACTTTTCAGTTAATATTTACTTGAGGCTATTGAGTTTTACGGGGCTTTTATACGCCTTTTTTCTCTAAAACGTAATAAGCTTGCTGCACACATGGATTTATTTATAGTTATAACAGATAAGATGACCTTTGGTATTATGGTATCTAATAGTATCATATAGCAAACCTATCAGAACTGGACATGATCAGACAACTTTTTCAAGACAATTAAAGCGTATTATTTCCAACTTTTCTTGTATTAATTTTTAGGTTCTCACAAAAGACTCCGTAACGGTGGCTGTAGACGCCGTGGTTTATTATCGTATCTACAATCCAATTGTAGCCGTTACAAATGTGGAAGACGCCGATAGGTCAACGCGTTTGCTGGCTGCAACAACATTACGCAACGTACTTGGCACCAAGAGCCTCTCTGAAATCCTCTCAGAACGGGAGGCAATCTCTAATTCTATGCAGGTGCGTGACTCGTGATTGCGCGCATCCTTGTATATTTCTTACAAGTTAACGGATTCTATGTCCTGATTATAATGTAAATCACAATACGATGAAAGCACAATTCAGGTCGTGTATTTGTATTGTGTATAGGGGGTTTTCACAGGTCGGAAGACTTTCATTACGTTGGCTTTATTTTGGTTTACAAGTTACGAAACATGGGAGAAGTAAGGCCAGACAAAACGGCTGTCTTGCATTAAGGGAATCTTGGAAAAAACGACTTGTGTTTCTAGCGATAATATGAATTTTAAAGGCCAGTCACACAAAATAACAAATTAATGTGGGTTAGAATTTATTCTGTCACGATTTTACTTGAAAAGTTAGTTAACTAATGTTTTTTACATCAGGATTTAAGCTGCCACGTAGAAGTTGTCTAACACATACTGGTCACTAAAGTGGAATTTATACAGACTGGATTTCGGAACAAATTTAAATTCGACTACGTACCGAAATTTATAGCTGCATGCCTATCATAGTGGCATTTGATATTCATTGTCCTATCTGTCAAAATTGAACAAAAGGCCAAGTTCTATCAAACAGTAATTTGCTTCATAAATCACTAGTAAAGTGCAAGGTGTGAATTTAACTGTTAGCAGGTTTGATGAAGATATCCCGTAAAGTACGACGTCCCCAGCTAGCCTTTTACAATGGATTCTTGCACAAATATTTGTGTTTATGTGTTTGAACAAAAAAAACTCGATGTTTTGCTAAGAACCTAACAGGAAGACTGGAAACAAGGGAGGCAGCCGTTCATCTGGATGTTAAACCCGGTTTAAACTCGGTTCTTAAAAATACGTACGTCACAAACATGAATTAGGAATAAATCGACAGATGGCACTTTACTTCTTACAATGTCGTCGAAATCGTCTCGTATTGGTCCTTGTCAGAAATTTGCGTTAACAACGCTCACAACAGCGCATAGGCAAGCCAAATGTCCTGTTCGAATTTACGTAATTCCTCTATGTTTGCAGCTTCCACAGCCCAAAATTCCTGTATGATCATCTGAAGCCTCCATTGCTTCGAATCGGTTCATCCACTATTTATCAAATTAAGCGCATTCAAATCCTTACTGTTATCTCCATCAAAGCCCGTTAAAATGGTGCTATACAAGTTAAATCCTAAAAAAACCAGTTTTACTTCAATGTTTAGCTGCCCTAGTGCCAGAAATGAACAGGCATGAACTAATATTCCCGAGTAATTGCAAAGAGGCAATTCTTTAGAGCTGGTAACTTGCCGTTTACAAATACGAGCAGCAAGAAAAACTTATGTGGCAAGCAGCAAGCAAACACAGCAATCGTGAGCGAATGTGGTTAAATTGATTTATGTGAAAGCGCCTCGCGGAACTGTCTTGGTTCAGGGATCAGTGTTTAGATGATCCTCTAAAAGCTAACTTGCTCTCTCTTGTACGCACACACTGTATCAACAAATTAGTTGAGCTACTCGCCATCTGCATTTCCTGAGTCCTTCTTTCCGTCGGGCCGTGTCAATGCATATTATCGGCCCTGGTGTGGTTTCCAAAACCGCGCTGGGTCCCGGTACACTTGATTTAACATTTCACCCTGGTAGTTACGATGAACGGACATAGTTCACATATAACCTCGGCTTTTGTCCAAATTATAGTTGGACAAAGCTCGATTTAAACCTATTTGTAGGCTTCAGTTCCTCGATTGGATAAGCCATCTTTTTTTATGTCCAGCTCTCATTAACTACTCAAATCTACGTCTAAATAGGTGTTATTTTAGAAAAGGCTGAGCAAGTTGGTGTTTTTGTTCAGATGCTTAATATTAGTTTATGTGAATCCACACATGAAACAAAGACATAAGTTTTTGGGTGTTTAAGTAGGAAAAATACTTGGCACACGCAAACGATAATCCCATTGGCTAGATAGCAATGGCACCTTTGTCCAAGAGGCTTGCGAATCAACTTAACTTTAGGCTTATTAATGTACAAAGGCAAACATGTGTTGTAGCAAGGTGCTACTTGATCTATTAATTGAGCCCAGTCGTGCCTATTTTCTTTTAGGCAATGCTGGATGATGCAACACATCCTTGGGGAGTGAAAGTTGAGCGTGTTGAAGTGTAAGTCTTTGTTGTGAACACTTGTTGCCTTGTAAGCGCTCTTTTGTTTAGCGGCAATGGGGATTTCATTTTCATTGTTCAAATTTCTTGTAACGATGCAAAGATCTATAAAATTTGATTTTGATTGGTTCCGAAATCTACTAACTGCACTTTTAATCCCTTTAGTGATTTTTCTTCAATTTTTTCTTTAAAACTTGGGCCAACACATTATTCGGGCCAGATAAAGTTCACTCGCTTTCTTTTAAGTTTTAAGGTAGTGATTTGTTTTCAAGAATGTTAAGAATTAATAAGTTCTGATAGGGAAATACTAAGAAAACCTTTACGAATTCCACAGGCCATTTTCTTGTATTTACAACAATTTAGCTGGCTGGTAAATTTACAAAAAAATGAGCCCAATCGTTCAACTACCATTTTCGGGTATGGAAGCGTGACCTGTGTGCAAAATCATAATTTTCAAGATGGTTCATGATAATACTGCAATTGCATTAAATAAAATGACATGTCTGTGCAACACGGGCTGAAAATCACTGGCAGGTAAGAAAGTAGACTGAAGTGATTTGGATGCCATTTCTCCCTTGGCATGGACAAGTCCACCTTTTGTTCCTTTTTCAATTATTCCGTTTAAAACAATTCAATTTCCTGTTTACATTTGGGGTGATGGAGAAAGTTATTGAAGCTGAATAAGCGTGCTCTCTTCTAACTGCAACAAGTAGAACGCTAGCAGTTATGGAAGCAAACCCCATGCATGGTTTTTGAACACTTACTTTAGAAAGGACGTCCGACTCCCTCTGCAGTTACAAAGGACAATGGCTGCTGAGGCCGAGGCAACGCGTGAGGCCCGAGCAAAGGCAGGTTTACGCATTTTACGCTCTTCTACTCACTTCTTTAGGTCCTGTTTTAAACCACGCACGCATGCAAGTGTGTAGGCACTCTGATTGAACAGAAGGTTAATTTCAAAAACGAGCGTGGCTACACTTGTGGTAGAATTTTGCGGTTCATTGTATCCAAGTAAATAGGAAGAAAGCAAAGATTTGTGACATCGAAGAGCCTAAAGATTTATTTTTTTGAATATTGGCAAGTCTTTTGAAAAGTCTAAATTTGTTTTCGTCTGAGTTAAGCAGTTGGGTAAATTAGAGGCCTTCAGGGCAGACGATATTTTACTGATTTTTACCCATTCTGCTTTGTAATTTGGCAAAAGTTGATTATGCAGAGGTCACTTAAGATTAATTTATGTTTTGCTATTTCAGTCACTGTGGTCCCTATAATTAAAATTCAATTCGAATTACTTTGATCCGAGCATCACTGAGCTACGCATAGCATCAAAACACTGATTTAGGTGCTTTCTTGAAATGCACTTTTACTCTCAATTGAGGCTAGAGTTTACATGGAGGCACTGTTGGTTTCTAGTGCTCGTGTGTCTTATTTTACGTCTTGAATAATTTATTTATTCCACTATTGTGGTCAAAATCCTTTTGGTTTGTCATCAAAACGGTTCCACGAAAAAATTTATTTTGTACAATTCAAATAATTTATAACCCACACATAGATACACCTCTGGAAGGCTTTTCATTATTCTACTTGGAATCGGCACTACATTTTTAACCGCTAGTGCCACTTTACGTGCATTTGCCTCTCGGTAGTATTTAAAGGCAGTTCTCTGAGAATTTCGTTCGACGTTGAGTAAATCTGAAAGTCTCGGCTCCACGCATGGCACTGCTCTCTGAACTAACCAAGTTCTGATCCTATCTTTTTAATTTGCCCATCGAGACCACTAAGGCCTAACTCAAGCCATGCTGGTTCAAAACCAGATCAAAAGCGTTCTATAGGAATTTCTGCTAAAATCATATTTGATCATGGCTTTTTACTACTTGGTTCATTTATGGAAATTACTTGAAATTCTACTCACTCTGCACCAGTTAGTAAACGCATTTTTCAAACAAATAATTACAGCGCATTTTTTCTCCGTTGAGTGCAGTGTGTGATAGTATGATTGAAACCGGGTAATAGGAAAAACTGGGGATAAAAAATGCGGGCCCATTAAACCACCCACTGGACGGAGTGCTGCTACTTTTAGGGGTGGGCAGCGCTTAGCCAAAAAGTTGACTGGAGCATAGCAAGTTAAAGCCAGACAACTTTAGGCTAGAATGGTAGACTTGAGTTTAATTCACTCATGATCAGCCGATGACACCTGCGAGGCATTGAGTGCTTTTTGTGAAACGATGACAATCTCCATCAGATATACTCATCAATAAAGTTGGTCTGTGTCGTACCATAAATCACAGTGCGTGAGTAGCCACCTGCCGAAGAAAGCCAAATTCAGTCGGTCAAGAAGGAGGTGACGGATTCGCTGTTGTGTTTATTATTGCGTCTTCCATCGGTAAATTTTCCCTATAAAGACAATTTTCTCCTCCCGTATTTGCAATAGAAGGTTGGTTGCAAATTATCTCAAAGGTGATGCGTGGAACGAGCTGGAGGAATGCGTAAAATAGAAAATGAAATTGAGTTTTTCTCAGGTGATTGGAACCAGACGCTTGCGAAAGGTTGAAGTCCTTTCCTAGCACTAAAGTGACTAAAAAGATAATGTCATGTTCTGGGCCGATCTGGCCAATTCACTTATTCCTCAGGAACTGTAATCGTAGTATCCTTCTAACAGTCAGCAGACGTGTGTTCGACTTTACGGCTGACCTGATGTCAAAAATGATTCCTATTCTAGGAAGATTAGTTCTTATCGATAGATTAAAACTGTACGCTCTTTACCACAGCGTTTGGTTACCTTTTGATGCCACCTGATCACTCCGGGATATGCGTTGATGATTGTTCACGAAGTCGGTGAGCTGTGACGTGCCTCAAATGCTCACAAAGTCAGATTTATTTACGTGTGAAAGGATGTCGCAAAGTCCC